CCGCTCAGGCCCCTCCACAAAGCCAGCACTGGGACCTGACCCGGCCCAGCCCAGCCCAGCCCAGCCCAGTGCAGCGCAGCCTGCTAGCATGCCTTTGCACTGGACCAGGAGGCAAGGCATTGGGATGCGCAGCTCCTATGCAAACGCATGCTGGCTGCGCGGCTCGGGCTGGGTTAGGTTGGCAGGCCACGTTTTCCATGAGGCTCAGGCGGCAGTGCACAGCTATGGCCATAGCACATTGCTGCCTGAGCCACATGGAAAATGCACCCTGCCGACCTGACTTGACCCAGCCCAACCTGGGCCGTGCAGCTAGCATGCTTCTGCATAGGAGCTGCACCTCCTGGTCTGATGCAAAGGCACGCTAGCAAGCTGTGCTGGGTTGGGTCCCAACTCACGTCTCCTCTCCACACACACCATGGGTCTGGCAGCACTGCAGCTGGAGGCAGGACCTGGCTTGGCATGACAGGTAGTCCACACGAGTGGTGCCAACCCCCAGGTCACAGCTCGAGTGGTCTGCAGCTGCCTGAAGGCACATGGCATCGTGCTGCACTGCATCTGCGCAATGTGGCAGAGGCAGAGCTGGGTGCCAGGCAGCCGGGGACAAGCCATGCTGCACCCCCATTACCCTGCGCTGCACGGGGGGGGCATGCCATGAGGCCGCTGAGTGCTCCAGGCTCCCTGATGGCCGCTGCCAGTGAGCTGCGGGCCATACAGGGGGTTGGGGCTGTGCAGGGGGTAGGCAACAGGGCTGGAACTGTGCGGAAGGTGGGTTGGGGGGTTGGAGCTGGGGGGGGGGCTCTAGGCCCTGTGGGGGAGCAGTAGCCCCTTTTGGGGGCATCTGTAGCCCCCGTGGGGGTGCTTTGGTACCTGTGGGGGGTCTCTGGAGCCCTGAACTGAGTCTGAGTGTTTTGTCCAGAGGCAAAGACTCCAGGAGAAAGCTGTGGACCAAACCCTGCGATCCCAGGAATTGGCACAGAGAGCTGCCAATGGAGGTTTCCATTTTTATATAGGGGATGCTGGGATTAGGGTCGCAAGCCAACGGGCTAAGGAGACTGGGAAAAGCACAGGTAAATGAACATTAGCGTACATACACTTAGGATATATATAACAGATAATAAATGGTGTCAAGGTGGAGAAACAGCCAAAAACAGATAACAGGGAACAGATAGGGAACACTAACACAGTGGTATACATATCTGGGGAACCTTAAAGCCCCTCCACAGCTCCAGAGGGCTCCAAACCAGTTTCTGGTCCCAAAACACTTAACTGCCATCTGTCTGGGCTCCGTGTGTGAGCCCTGCTGCTGCAGCCCATACTCCTAGCTGCTTCCCACTCCCACGCCACAT